AATGCAAACCTTGTTTTGAAGGTTTCTATAACTATAACAAGGACATCAGTGTTCAGTTTAAACAAACAAACAAACAAAAGCCCTTTGACCTCTTCTACTAAAGGTCCAGATTCACTAAAAGTAATAAACATGAAAATCCCAGTTTGAATTATGAAAACCTCTCAAAGAGTGCATTACTCCCATTTTGCAGCTCAAAGCACAAACTCCACTCTTCCTCCGATGGAGTTCTTGGGTAACGAGATGTTAGCAGCAGATTCTTTAAAGATCTGTGCATCCCCTTTAAATGTAGAATATTAGTCTGACATTAAAATTATACAGAAGTGGCCAAAGATTTCCAAAAATCCTTATTTCGTAGAACCCATATAATGATCAAGTGCCATGTTTTTGTAGATGGAAGTAGAACCCAAACACAGAACAGGCAGAGGCGTTACAAAAAAAATCCAGAAAAAACATCATATAGATGCAGTAGAACTGTCCGCCTGCTCATTGCATAAAAAATTTACTTTCATGACATTATGAAGTTTGTAGATCAACACTGGGAGTCCAATAATTTAAATTAGTTGATTATTTTTAGGGGGTTATTTCACCATTAAAACAGTTACCTGAGTGGTACTTTGTGCTCCTTCTGCTTCCAAACCAGACTTTGTGCTTTTCATAGCATAAAAAAGTCTCAGTAAAACCAAATGTGTTTTTTTTTTTATTGAGAAAGAAAAGAGAAAGTGTCCCAGCCTTCATTTAGTAAGCTGACCTGCAGTGTGCAGCTACAGGTGTGGGAGGTTTTTTTTTGTTTTTTGTTTTTTTTTTACACCAGCATTTTAATAAAAGCCTATAAAGCACAGAAATACTATGAATAAAACATATTTGCATGTTTTAACATTTGAAATCCCATTATAGAACCCTGGTGCATATATAGCTAACTTACCCACCTAGTTTCACAGTTAAATCTCCTGGGTTTGCTGTGTGTAGTTGTTTCCCTTAGTCTGTTACATCCTCTGGGTTCAAGTTCCCCTCTGCATCAACACCCCTTCCCCTCTGCATCCTGCTCTCTCTGCTCTGTTTGACTGTACCATCAATTTACCAACACACATATCTGCACACATAAGACACATATATACACACACAAATCAATACAAGTCTTCTTGGCACTGCCAGAGCCCAAAATGACTATAGATTTTCTGTCTCCCCTGCCACTAAATTATGCAAACCTCTGGTTTATGTCCAAGTACTTTTTTTTTTGGCATTCTCATCCTGCAAATGAGATAAGAATTTTATAATAAGGCAGAGTTTGATTAATACAGGTACAGATATGGAGGAGGTAATACAAGTGAAAATTAAATGCCTTTAAAAATGTGTTAATCTTTTTAATTTGATACCTGATTATTGCCAAATGTGTACTCTATAGATTTTGAAATCAGTCCCGGGTATTAGGATCATAAATGTCCTGCTGAGGTCAGGACTTTGCTTAGGTGCTTGATACTATCAGAAGTTCTGCTCGACTAGTGCAAATGAATATCTAAATACTAAAGAGTGATGAGTAAGTAAATAATAAATGAATCTAATTCAATATAAATGGTGTATATCTATATTTTGTACATGGAGGCTGAAAAGTTTAGCCTATAAACAAAAACAATTATCCTAAACCTGCTGTGCACATGTGTTTCTTTTAATGTTAGAGACAGCATGCAGAGAGGCAAGTGTTACGGGAAGCTGCCCATGAAATTTGGCTTTAGTTGTAAGTCATTTTTAAACATTGAATTTTGACACAATTATGACTTCAAAATAACTTTTTTCTTGTCAGCCAACAGGGGAACAGGCCAAATGTTTGAGAATGTATTAGTGTCTTTGTAAAGTATAGGATATATGTTGCTCATAGGGATTAAATATATATACTTTCATGTTGCTGCAGTAATTTCATTATGTTGAAATCTAATACACTTCATCGTGTCAAAGGGGGGAGGAGGTTTCTAGCTTTAAAGCAACCCATTAGCTTTTAACCCATTAGGTCTTTTCAGCAGAAGCTGTTCTTTTCTACATGGTTCTCTCAGCGACACCTGTCCCTGATCCCTGGCATCTACAGAAATGAGCCAACATATCAAATGTATTTTCAGTAGCATAAGCTACCTGCTACATTGTGTTGCTTGATGGTACCAGTATATAAACTTGGAAATTTGTGCTAACTTTTAGCTATAGTTACATTCTGTAGATGATATGCAACTTTTCACGTGATGTTGGGTTTGTTTGACAACAGGTACTCTCAAGAATTACTGGAGATTGTATGTGACATCAAATCCATCATTTATACCAATTATCTCCCACCATCCAATATCCAAATAATCCCAAACAACAGAATGAAACTGTACTTTTTGTGTATGTATCCTTTGACTCTTGACCTTTTTCTTTTGTCTTTCTCTTCACTGACCTTTCTGCAGCAGTCTTCACTTTGTATCTTTGTGCATGTCCGGAGTCGTACAGCAAAAACTTCACAGCAAAGAAAAGTTCCCTTTGATGTTACCTCTCTGCAGAAGTTTGGTGCAGAAAACCTGCATGGCCTTGCTTTTGTGTCAGTTTGTTTTATTTTTTTATTTTATTTTCCCATGGTTCCTTTTAATGCATTCAATACCTGATCATAGCTAAACACTACAGAAAAATGAAAGCTTTAACATACATCACCAGGCAGGTAGCATGTGTACCTGCTGTTCCTCTCTTTGAAATGATCAAAACAACTTCAAAGTGAGTCTAACATTTTTATTCTCAAATGTTAACACAGACTCCTAAACAACATTAGCTGCTTTCAAGGTGTTGTTGTGTAATCTATCCATCAAGACATTAGCTTCACCTGCTTATCCTTTTGCTAACTGAAAAAAAAATAAAAAATCAAACTAGCCAATCAAATCCTGCAGTCTTCCAGAAAGATTTAATCAGTTCAAAAGGACAAAGGGAAGGAAATTGAAATGATCCACTTGATCATGTCTCCCTGGAGCTCGATTACCTAAATCACAGAGACACACACACACACACACCTCCTCATTTTTTACTACTGTTTTACGCTGTTTTATCTCTCGTTTCCCGACAGCTGTCTTATTCTCTAACCGACATTTTCTTCAACATCGTTCTGAATGAATTTTCTGTTAGCCTGTCTCAATATTCCCAGTTGGCCACATTCAAGAAGCCTTCTCCTGAACGTGTATGAGTAATGGACACTGAAAGAGACCACTGTCTGTCAAGGAAAATACTAAGACAGATGTAGAAAAAGGCAGAAGTTACATCGACTTGAAAGAGGAGGAAAGGGCCGGGGAAGTTTTAGTTATCCAGAATCCACCTAGAGCCGCGTTTAAGCTTCCACCCGATCAGGATGCTAAAGATGAAATTGAAAACATCCCCTTGAAACAACCATTGTTCGGAATGTAGTGGCTTGATTTTGTCTAATGAGTTCATCATTCCCTCTGGTAAGCAAAGTAATGACCAAACTAACCGTTCCTGTTTGCATAAGCATGTAAAATAATTATGGGATTGGGTTGCTGTCCTTGGTTGCTCGACAGGACGTTTTTCCAGACACAACAGTTTACATGCCGGGTTTTGCAAAAGCGTACCTGTCATTTTGTAACCAATTACAGCCAAACATACAGACCAGTACAAAGTAGGAATAAAGTGGAACGATTTATATAAATGCTTTTTCTTCACAACTCTGACCAACATCCACTATCCGTGCTGAAGAAAGGCAGTCCAACAACACGCTGCCACAGTTGAGATGTTTTGCTCAGAACTTGGGAGATTGGTTCATATCCTCACTTTGCTCTAAACTTCCCCGCAACATCGTCTCTGATCAGCCCTGTGACTCTGTTGGTTTTTATGATGCTGTTTGCTCATTAATATTCTCCACCAAACCCCTACAGCCTTTCCACAACATTACTGTACACTGAGATGAAATTATATACAGTTGGGGCCCCTATTTACCTAACGGGTGACTTTTCAAGGCAGTTGGAAGCGGTGGAGTTTATTAAGGGTATCACAGTAAATGGGGAGACACACACCAAACACCAATCTCAAGGTTTTTTTTTTTTTATTTCTACAAAATGTTGGAAACCATGTTTCATTTGCTTTCCACTTGGTGAGTACGCACTGCTTGATGTTGGTCTATCACTTACCACTATGTAATAGACTGAGGTCTGGCAAGGCGCTGTATGTCATTATACGACGAATAACATCAGAGACCAAGTCATAAAGTAAACATAGGAGTAAACATTCATTTTAGTGCAGCACTTCGTCTAATGGATGTGACACGTTTCTCCAGCCGGGCTTCTCTATTCCTTAATCGGTCAACTAATTGATGTCATATATTTCTTAATGATTAGGTCGTTACGTGGCCATTATTCAGAAAGTCAAACAGTAATAAAAAATTTGACTGTACACACACATCAGCGCACTGTGCTGAGGCCAGTGGACGATCGGTGCCCTGATGCGACCTTCTTGGCTCGTCTGAAAGAAGCGCTCCACTTAAACTTCGCTGGTCCTTCGTAATTGAATTAGTCTGCTCAATTATGTAGCGGCAGGCCTGTCCTCATTATACGGCGCTATTAAAACACAAGAACCAAGCCAAGGGTGGTGGGAAGCGGGGAGCAGTTACTGAGGAACGGAGTGAAGAGCTAAAAGTTATTTTAGCAAAGCATAAAATTTTATGGCTTTGTCTTCAAACTGTCTTCCACATCTGCGCAGCGGCGCCATACATGAAGGATGTCCCCCATGCATCTTCTGTACTTTCCTCCCGGCTGATTGCTAAGGAAAATGTTAAGGCAGCAGTTTCGACAGAAGTTCTCTTTATTTTTCCAACGGCTTCACATGAAAACACGACGCCGATCTCCGCTAGCTGACGTGCTGCTTTGAGGAACCAAAAATGTTTATTCATCTGCGGTGCGTTTTGCCTGCCCGCTCCCCGTTCAGGGGAGAAGTTCTGATGTCCGAGACGTCGGCTGCCGTCTGATTCCTGTCTTCTCGACTCACAGTTCTTTCCTTTTCGTCTCATTTATCCAGGATCAACTGAAGACCCTCCAGAGAGGCTACAAGCATGTTAATGATGAAGCTCTCCGGCTGCAGAGGTGAGTTGGCTCCTACACAAACACACACACGCACACACACACATTCATAATGTAATACACTGAATGAGCTCTCTGCTTCTGTGGAGAAAACAGACACAAACACACAGACAGTTTTTCTGCTCTTGGGACCCAGTTGTCGCTGTTTAATTACCTCTAACCCAGATTGAATCTGTATTCCTGTGTCCTTTGACTGTCCTCTCTCCTCTCCGGGCCAGTAATCACCTGACTATGGACCTGGACAACAACATCAATATCAACCTGCCGCCTGTGGAGACCAAAGTGTTGATGTAAGTATACGGTTCAAAAGGCTGGCCAGTAGATTCAATTACAGCATGAATAAAGTTCGCACTTTCATTCACATGTTTGCATTGTGTCATTTTCTGATCACGGGAGAAAATGTAAAGTAAATTTACCTCAAAAGGCTGGTATTGGGTATTTTCCAGGAACATAGTGTCATTTTACAGCACAGTCAGTTAACTATGTTACTTCCAGTTGTTGTATAAATGCTGTATATATCAAACATGACGTCATAGTTTGACACTTGGAAATTGGGCCTCTGTCTCTTTAAGAAGCTCCTGCTTTTTCCGACACTCCAGTTTCATCACAAGAACGCTTCTCATTATGCCGTTTACAATTGTTATTAGGATGGTTGGACTGAGATGCGACTTGTATGAAGAGCTCCTCAAATGAGCAGGTTCAATCACGTGCTGCCACTAGTCTGGAGGAGCTGAGTGGGGAGAGAGCAGTGTAAGAGCACTCTGTGAGGCAGAAGTTTGGCTGGGGACTGTAACTCCAAGGAGGAGCTTTCGGGAAATAGGCAGCACTTTGTAGGATCAAGAGTTTAGGCACACTTGAATGGTTGTCACAAGAGATAAAAGGATTTCTCAAACATGCATGAAAGAATCAAAGCAACATCAAATTAAACCAGTGAAGGAAAGCTTGATACAATTTGAATCAGCATTTTGCATTTTCAGCAAATCTGGAAAAATGTAGAATTTGATTTAGGTATTTTACAGTTCTGGAACAGTATGAAAAAGTTTAAGAAGATATTTATATTTTCAAGCCCTTGCCCCCTGTAGATGATGACACATTTCTAAGTCTTGAAAATCCCCTTGCTCCACCCAGACTGCACATCGATCTACCCAGTCATCTCTCCACTTACTATCCATTCATCAGCTTGTTTTTGGAACCAACTTTCCATTGATCAGTCTGTTCACCCATCCATTCATCTATCCATTTATGTTTTCATCCATCTATCAGTCCATCCATCCTGCTGTCTGCCTTTCCATTAATAAATCATCCATCCATTCATCCATCTGTCGATTTAGCCACTTTAACCACTCTTCATCAATCCATATGTCCATTATTTTGTCTATTCACTCATTCATTTATCAGTTCATCAATGTTTTTGTCCGTTTATAGATCTGTATGTGTGCCAATCACCCCATCCAAATATCTGTTCATCCATGCTATGTCTGTGGATTCATCCATCCATAATTTCAGGTTGATAGATTAACGGAAACCCTTTAAAGCTTAAACGAAAAATAACTTTAGCGCAAGATTTTATATTTGCACTGTCGACTGTCCTCAGTCTTCATTGCTGCACTCCCACAAGGTTAGAAAGTCACAGCTCCGGGTGAGAAAATCTGGAATTTACAAGTGTTAGTAATCGCTGTGCAACTCTTCTCCAGGAAGCTTGCATCATAATCCTCTGTTGTGCTTCGTCACGTTTTGTCTTCATCTCGCTGCGTAGCATCCAGCGGGCATGGCGAGACTTTCTGCAGAGACAGGAAGTGGAGAAACGGAGCCCCTCCCCACCTTCGCTCTCCTCCTCCGACAAGATGAGCATGTCGATCAGCATGATGACCCTGTCAGATGGCAGCACCCCTGTAAGTCATCCGAGTGTCACACATACTCGCCATTAAAATATCAGGCATGCAGATGACATGTCAGCGTGTGTTTATGGCGGCTGTGTGAGTCCATATATTAGATAGTTGCACAGATGTGACGTTCTGCTCGCTGCTGCTCTGTTTTCTTTGCGTTGGAGGAAAAGTTTCATGAAAAGATGCTGAAGAAAAACATGACGTGTTTTCTGCTTTATTTCAATATAAACTTTGTGGAAGTCTAACTAAGAAAAATGTCTCCAGGGCAATTACGCAGGCAATAACATTTCGAGGACAGGTGGAAAAAATAAGTGGTTTGATCTGCACTACCTCGGTAACGCAGACATCTTGTGTTTCAGGTTGCTAAAGAAAAAACAAATTACGATGCTTGGGCTTCTGTTGGAAGTTTTTCTTTTGATAAGTTTATGTCAACTTTTGCTCCATAAGGTGCACAACCTGTGCTTGGCCTTGATGATTAATGTAATAGATGGTTCTGGTTAAATTTCTGTGACTTTGGATTGTCTTGCCGTTTTATCCACATCAGCGACTATTAAGCAGACACTGCTTTTGGTTGGAGACTCAGTAGTTAATTACTTTTTCCACTTACAAATGTTAAATGAGAATAAAAGCACAGCTGGCTAATGAGCCATGGATTGCATGTGTGGGATATAACAAAATGCATTCTGCTTTGGACTGAGGCCTTGGGGGGGGGGGGAAAAGGCTTAAGCTGTCAGCTAGCAAACATAGCAAACATTTTGGTTGGCAAACCAAATTTTTGCATATCTAAAAAAGGTTTCCGAAGTTTCCGAACTGAATTGAAGTTGCAAGAATTTAAACATGTTGTGCTCATGCAATATAATCTCCGCTTGTTAAATAAGTAAATGTTGTATTTTACTTGGATCATCTTGAATTTCTATGTGATTCATCAGTACAGTGGTACTGCATACAGTCTGAACTACTACTGTTTTGTGCGTGTGGGATGAATATCTGTCCCTATTTCATGATGAGTTTCTAACACCTTTCTGAAGATCTTAGAGTTCAAATGTTGTTGGGTCCTACCTAGGGAAACCATTCATGTAGTATTGAGTTTGCCCAGAAGAGGGCAGCAAGTTCTAGTTAAAATTCTCTCAGATTGCAAACCCAAATCCAATCCCTTCTCAAAGAGTAAATATAAAAGGATTTAATCGAAGACATTCACAAAAACACACATTTTCACTCAGCAAAGACACGGCGACAGTAAAAATCTGTACAACAGCCATTCTCATTCAGACCGACTCCCCCCACCTGCCACTTCACGAAACCGTAGATAAATCCTCTGGATTTTCTCCACTGCCTCCATTGTGGTCATTATAATTCTACGCCGGCATTGTCTGCACGCTGCTGGCTGAATAGCAAGTGTCTGTACACTTACCTGCTAATCCCTGAGGCTGAAGTCAACAGGCGGGTTAAATCTCAGAGATGGCTAGGAGTGTGAGATTTGGGCGGTAGTTGTCCGCTCAGTTTGCTGCTGTTTGATTTAGATTCTTGTCGATGACGAAGGGGTTAGATCGCTTATGACAGGAGACGATTGAGAGTGGCGAACAGCAGAAATAGGTATGTGCTGTCAGATACCCAGTGGGTGTACAGTTCATGAAGTCATCCAGGATTGTTTATGCTGCACACACGTTCTTACGGTATATAGATATATAGAGCTCTCTATATATCTATATAATATAACAGACAGTAGTTCTAGCTGAGATCCTTTGGGAAGGCAGGGAATTGCTTAGCTCAGTGACTTAGACCTGCTGACAGGGGCAGATGATCATCACTGAGAGAAAGCCAGAGTGAATTGTATGAGTGCATTAGGACCCTAAGGTCAAAGGAGATGGAGCAGGAGAGAGGAGGGGAAGATGAAAAACAGACTTTAGTTCACTGGTTGAATGTGCTGATCCTGTAGATCTGCTCTCTCTGTCTCTCTCTCTCTCTCTCTCTCTCTCTCTGTGTATCAAAGGGAGGCTCAGATTTTCTTTCCATATTGACTGATTCCGTTTTTTTTTCCTTCCATACAGTTGATGGATTACAATAGTCCGATATGAACTCTGCCTCGCTTCACAAACTGTCACTCTCTGTCTGTTTCTCCCTTTCTTCTCGTTGAAATATTTCTTTACAGTAATGCTTTCGGAGGGCGCTCTCGGCTCCCCCGTGTTTGAATTTCTCTCAGTTTCATTTCTGTTGAGCCAGCTATTCATCCTCAGTGTGCACAAACACAAGCACTCACCAGCAATGGGGTCATATTTTTTTTCTCTCTCTCCCTGACACACAAAGATGCAGAAACCATCTCTAAAGTGATTGGATTTGTAACCTTTGTGACTTCAATGCCAGTCGTTGACAAAAGCAGACTGTATAACAGAGCCTGAAACAGTGTCTTGGAAAAAATATGTACACTCGGTTTGTTTGCTTTTTTCACATCTTGACTTGTTCCAATGACAAACTTTCCTGTATTTTTTCTCAGAATTTTTTAGTGACAGTCCAACACAAAGTAGTGCATAACTTGTACATTATTAGAAAAACGGATAATTTGAAAATATTTGCACTAGGGTTGGGCCATAAGTCGGTTTTATCGGTAGTCAGATTTTCGGTTTTTGAAGATTTAATTTTTGGAAAATCTGGATTTTAGTTGTTTTTTTTTTTTTTTTTTTTTTTTCACCAATCCCCTTTTTGGGTTTCCGTAGTTGCCAGCTTGATGTCAGCACACCCATAGCAGCCATCCTGTTTGACAAATGTGTTTTACAACTTCTGATTATTTGAACCTTGAACTCAGGTCAACTCTGCAACAAAATACAAGACTCAGGAGAAAATGATAAGAAGATGAGGTGATCTGACTTGTTCTGTTACTTGTTCAAAACCTGTTAGTCAGCAAGAAAATTTATGTGACTGTTAAAGTCCAAAATGTGGAAATGTTCAAGGGGTATGAATACTTTTAGAAAGCATGTATGCCGGTGTCTGAATGAAGGGGATTTTTGTTGTTTCTTTGATCAACATGCGACTTTTGTGTGCGAAACTGATCTCTCACGCTGTAACTTGGATATCTCTCTTGGTGATCGATCTCTGCACGCTGTAATAGCACCGCTGAGGGAGGCAGAATTATGAGTTTCATTAAAGGGGGAACCTAACAAAACTCTGGCCTTTATGCTCAGATATGAATCAGCTGTCTAAATTTTATTGTTTCATCATACCGTACCACGTCGGCACAGCCGGCCAGACCGCCAACACGCACACATACACGGGCGAGAGCCGAGTGGACACACAGGCCACTGCAGCTTCAATTTTACACTGTCTAGAAGACAAATGCCCTTTTATTATGAGGCATCAATCAAATTGTGTTTGGGGGTGAGGTAAATGTTTTTTTTTTTTTTTTTTTTTTTTTTAGCAGCGTTGCCTCTAAATTGCTTGAGGAATGAGAATCCGGAGAGGACGCTCTGAGATGCTTGGAGTCTGGATATTAGTTTTTAAATCCAGTTTGGTTTTAGGATTTCATTCTACGTTTTGAATGGGATGTATGGGAGCTGTCCATTGCTTTGGTGCTGATCGTACATCTGGGGTGTAATAGCCGTGTTATGACACTAGAGGGAGGCCTTGTCTCGTAATGGCTGGTTTGTGTTCTGTCAGCAGATTGTTTGGAAGGAGCAGCATGGTTGGCATTTTTCAGAAAACAGGAAATTCAAGACCTAAAGAGGAACAAAGCATTCGACTTTTCTTGTCCACTTTGTGTACTTGAATGCATAACTCAGTTTGATTTCCTCTCCTGTTTTGTTTGGAATATAAAAGGAATTAAATCATGGAAAAGCCATAAGAGCTGAAGACATCTGTTAGCTGTCTATTCCTGCTCCTTCATTTGGGTTATGAAGGAGCTGGTGCCTAAAGCCGAGGTTCTCCATGTACAGGCCATCAGTCTGTCACAGGTCAACACAGAGAGACAAGGGACAAAAAATACTCAGACATTTTCTCTCAGACTTATACCCATCAGGCATATCTCTTGACGGTTTAGCAAAGCCGGAGTATTGGGAAAGAATCCATTCTTGAGGTGGCCACTCTGCTCCAAGGAAATAGCATTAACAACTACACCATCATGGAGTCAGCGTAAAATATTTTCAATGATATTACTTCAGGTCTTCAAAGGCAGTTTTGTGTTTTGTTGGAACTGAGTGTTTATTTTTAGGTAGTTTTTTTTTTTTTTTTTTTAGCACAGTTGCCTTACAACAAGAAGACCTCGTGTTGGAATCCCAGCCTGGGGTCTTTCTGCCCGGAGTTTGCATGATCTCCCTGTGCATGCTTGGGCTGGCAGATCATTTCACAAACAGCCAATTGTAAGTGCTAAAAACAAAAGAGGCATTCTTTGTGGAACCCATCAATCCAGTCGCCATGTTGTCCACAGGGAAGGCAGAGGTAGTTAAAAAGTTGTTTTGTGCAGAGCAACACGATGGAGAAAAGCATCATCACTGGAAGAACTTTATTCTTTTCAGACTTTAGAACATCTAAGGGTTCCTCAAAATGAGCCAGAGATGAAAAAATATCCAGATTTCCCACTTGGCAAAGTAAAGGTACTGGGCACACACACACACACACACACACACACACACACACACACACACACAAACACACATACATCCTTGTGCTTCTATGAAAACTGAGAGCTTTGTGTTGACTTCCATTCATTTTTGTAACTGCATTTATGCCTAACTCTAACCATTACTAGTCATTACTAATGCACATCATACCTCTAAACCTAAACCCTGAGTCTACACAAAGGAGTCCACTGTATTAGGATCGAACTCTGGTCCCCGTAAGACCAATTGGTCTTCAGAAGGTTAGTAAATATTCCAGAAATTGTCCTATATAGGATAGTTAAATAAGATAAGCACACAAGAACGACTGAGTTTTACAGAAAAAGTATTGAACTTTAAATTTAAATCTGCTTTCAAACATTCTTGAGAGACAACTTTTCAGAAGCAACAGTGGACAAGGGT